TCAGTCGATTTTGAGTTCATGCTCTTTGGAATATCTGGAACATGATCAAAATGCAGTTTAATAGTGGTAGATATTCACAATACACCACCGCTCAAAATATAGAAATTTCGCATGATTAGATCCAGTAGGAAAGGAGTTACGACTGAAAAGTACGGCTGAAGAACCATTTCACCGAAGACTTTTGAGCGCTACTGTAAGTACCTGTATAGAGAAAAAGTTGCCCATAAGACTCCGATCTCGTTTTCTGGCCATTTTACTGGAACAGTTTCCTAGTTCTAATCAATGATCAGCAGCAAAGTTCGTAAAAATGTTCCCCAGATCGTATCAGGTCTTTGAAGTTTTTGCAAAAGGCATAATAACAAGTTAGTTATCTTGAGCAGACCGCCATTTGCTTTCTACTTACTGCATATGGCTCGAGTAAAACTAATAAATATATCACCGATTGATGAAAATATGTTTGTTTACATTAACAATAGACAAGCAATCACACATCTACACGACGTTTGGTTGGCTAACGGTTGTATACTCTGCAACCGCACTGATAGCAATCGTTGTTTTCACTTGCCTGCCCATGCATGATTACTGTGTGACTTCCGCTCAGGACCGATAATGATCTCATACACATAACAGATCGATATTTTAAAAGACCATTTATTACAAAGGAACTATGCACAATGTCAAGATGAAGTATAATGCAACATACAATGTGTTGCTGTTCAATCTGAAGCAACCTTTACAATGGGTGTGAAAAAAAAAGATGCGTTTTCGTCAAATTTTTGACTGTAAACCGATATAGCACACACGCACAATTACAGAAACACACATTCTTATCGCGGATATTGATGTTATCGATTTTTTCGGACTGAAATTTAATTCAGTTCTCAAAAAAAAGTTGGTTGAGAATGCTAAACGACATGATATTTGTAATGATCAAATGCTTCCAGTAGCGTTTAGTTAGACGCTTCGCCCTGAAGAATCTTTACGTCCCATAGGAACAGGAAGAATTGGCAGACGATCAGGGCCTGAAAATCGTACAGTATCATATTTTTTAGAAGATTACGGTAAAACTATATCCAGAGAAGCCACACTTACCGCACTGGCTATAAGAGTCGAGCGAGAAGTGTTGTATTCAATGATGAACCAGATGATTAGAGCTGCAGCAATCAGAAATAGAATTGTGCAGATAACCGAGTAGATCCGTTCCTGAAGAAGATAATCAATACTGATCGATAAGGGACTTGTGTATACCGATGACTTACTAGTCCCCAAGCTCCAATGTTGAGGAAATTAAGTACGAGTAGGACGATGTTGATCACAACACAAATGAAATTGAGACCGGAGCAGAAGCCAAGGCGACCTTCACCAAAACACGACTTACCGCCATACCTGAAAACAAAACAACGCTCACAATAGTCGTATCTCCATTTTTTGGAGGGCTTTCAGTTAAAAAACACTAGAAGTGGTTGTTTATTTCAGTCAGGAACCTCAAGGAGTAGGAACCTCCGTTTTTTGGAGGAGTTCTCAGTTAAAAACACTAGAAGTGGTTGTTTATTCCAGTGAGGGACCTCAAGAGGTAGGAGCGACTCGCCAAATGGCAGAAAATCCCGCCCAAAATGGGCGGCACTTCTCACGAGGGTTTGTTTGAAAAAAACCGCGAAAAACGCAGTTGGCTACTGAATATCTTCGTGGGGTTTATTCATTTCTGTTGATCCCTTGTGCTATCTTGTATGTTATTATCCCATGCGATCATCTCTTGACCTATGCAGACAGGCTTCGTATTGTTTTTTTATGACACCAGGTCTATGGGTCAAGGCTGCCGATTCCATCCATCTACCCATTCATTCATTCATTGGGATGCCGCCAACGAGTCGAATCAAGTGTGTGTGAAGCAGTTGATGAGTTGCTTACAGTTGAGATCGATCGCCAGTGTAACATTGGGAGAGAAAGAGAGGACATAATAGTAAACAATCGTAAATCGTTTGAAAAACATCACGTGCGGCCAGAAAATTGGCTGGGGTACTGCTGCAAAATAGCAATGACATGAGATGATCGGATGAAATCATGAATTTATGGGTACATTAGGGACACGGAAAGGGCCAAAGAACTGTCTGATTTGGAGCATTTCTAATGCAGAGGTCCATGCGATTCATAAGGTCTTCCTCACCCCCCTCCCTCCTCCAAACATACAACCACTAGTATATTCGGGGATTCGAAAGTCTGATGTGTTATTGTCCTACAAATAAAAACTTCAATTACTCACCATTGGGCACATAGTAACGAGCAGATGATGAAACCGCAAACAATTTGAAGAATCTTGATGATTCCACGGTTTGTGCTCAGATAGCGAGTATTCAGCGAGATCTCTCCCATTCTTCTGAAAAAGAAACGGAACTAATAAAGTATGATAAAAAGTAACGATAATACGATATATTATGATGAAAGGAGACTTCATAATGACAAGATGATTGATGAGTTTGGGAGTGAGAGTAGAAGCTGACGAAGGAATTATACTTCGGGTACACGTGCAAGGGTAAGACCCGCCTCGGTTGAGGTATTTTAGAATGATCTGACGATGGCAGGCAGTGGGAGGGGGAGGGTGGTAGCCAAAAAAGGGGGCACTAAAAACAAACCGGTCATGTGCATCCGTGAGCGCTAAGCTGTCGCGCGTCATCTTCAAGGTTGCTAGTCACTGGTAAACATTAACATACTAGTCATCAATGATCATAGCTAAGACCACCATATGAATGAGGAGGAGAACGATAGAAATGACACATACACGCCAGAGTGTTATATAGTGGGGAACTCAGCAGACCTGTCCACCACCACCTTTCAACAAGAACGAAAACATAGCAATGCATCCCCATACAGTCTTGCCCATCCCTTCCCCCGCCCCTTGCTGATGCTTACTGTCATACAGTCGACGGACGGCGAGAGAGAGAGGCCTGCTTGGGTTGGCAAACTGACTCATGCCCTCCCCCCTTCTTCCCCATGGTGGAACTGGTTAGCGCGCAGAGCACTTTTTGCAGGATGTTTACGTGTATTCAGAAGGGTCATTTCGACGTTTATCTGGGATGAACGAGAGAAAAGAAAAAACGACGAGACCAATGCTGGCAAGACACACACACACACAAGCTATAGTTGACCGCCCCACAACTGGCTGGCAATTTATGCAATGCAGCTGCTGGGGCCGATCTATTGGATGGGAGGGATCCGTAGTGTATCTGTTGAGACTTTGACGAGGAGAGTTGTACCCCGTCAAGTGATCAACGATCTCTGGCCAACAAAATCAGGTTTATGAAGGCCTCAGCATTCAGCATGTGGGGTAGAATGCCCTAGAGACGACACTGACTGACTGATGATGGAGAGTAAACGATGACAATTGTGGATTGCCCCACGACTGACCGTTGTGGTCTTAACTGGGGTAACGGACGCCCTCTTATAGTCATGAGGGTAGGAGGAGGAGAAGAAGAACAGAGAGAATCAAGGAGTTTTCCTAAACGAGTTTCGGCCTTTTTTCTCTCACGCTCATGGGGTTGCTGTCCTTCTCGCCCGCCTGCCACAACTATCATGTGCACCTCCCTCCCCACACCCATTGCGAAATAACAACAGAGAGCATGCTCAACCGGGCGAAAACATAGCAGCGTTATGGAGGCCACGAAGCGAAGGAGAATCGAGACAGACACCAACCAAAAGGCGTTGAGACGTTGTAACCTCACGATGACGACGACCACAGCAATTTGCCGTCTCCCGGGAATCATTGAATGCCTCCGTAAGACCAGCGAGGTGAAAAGCCTTCCAGATAAACGTCAAAATTGCCATATACACGGCCAAGATTTTACGGACATCGAAAATGAGGTGTGGTGAGAGCAACTATGGGATAAATGTGGACCAGCCAGCGGATTGGACATGATGCTCACTTGATGCGATGTCTGTTGATGTCCACTGAGCCAGGACCATCGTATCAAGTGAGTATGAGTGTTGTTGATCGTGTGGTGCGTGCGAGGGGAGCTCTGACACAGACCCGTCAAGTGTGAGGGGTGTTGAGGTTATGGCGACCAAGTTACGGTGAAGTGGCACACTGGCACCGCCTCTAATGCACTCTCACCTAAACAAGTATCCGCTATGAACCAGTACATATGGAATTATTTTTTTCCAGACGATAACTACGTCTTCCGGCCGATGAATCATAACGGAAACCACCGCAGCCATCGAATGCCCTATGGAGAGATGGTGGGTCGTGGAAAGACATTAGCGCTTTCCTCCCTTTCAACCCGAACTCTTCACAGCTAACCTCGGGTTTTAACCCTCGCGTCGATTCAGAAGTGAAATCAAACTACCATGCTGTAGGTGATAACACAAAAAGATCCAAACTCCTGAAGTCGTTTTGCCGTTTCTGGGATGAGCCATTCATTAGGATGTTACTCGGAATAGTAGTGATGTTTTGATGGGTACTCTGCTGAAATGGCTACACAAGTCACTGTTTTTTCCTGCCTTCAGATGAACTACTTCACGAATGGTCCTAAGGTTATAGTCTGGACAAGGTTCAATCTGGGATTCGAGCTCCGGAGCACGGCTGTGGCAACGGCTCCACCGCAAGCAAGATCCCGAGATCACCGCATGAATCATCGGATGAAGACCATCTTCAACTGAAAGTGTCTTATGTCTACAGAAAGGCTTACTCTTTGGAAACTAGTTTGTGATTCCTTGAAGTACGGTATCATGTGAAGTGACATGTTGTGTGAAGAACGTTGACAACCACTTGCAGTCCGTTTATTCTTCGACTTCCATCAGATTGCATGAAGCCCATGCAGCAGAGGATTCGAAAACTTTCCCGAAAAATCAAAAGGCAGATAAAAGTTGAATCCTATGCTGAAAGCAGTCCTTCCTGGAAGCACCATGCGTCCAACTTCCACAGGAATCGTGAGGACAGCTGGATAAAGGTCAGACAATGTTCACGAGCTTTTCACCCTCCAAGACAGCGCTTGGTAGCAGAATACCGACCGACTAAAGAAAGTGGAGGACTCTGCCTCGAATAGAGATCAATCCTCCTCAAGATCTGTTCAGCCTTTATGCGCCGTGGACAGCACTACAGTCAGATATTGTAAGCCAACCTTACATTCTACTTATATTCTACTGCTTTCCGTTGGTTCTGCATTNAGTACAGCCTCATTGGTAAAACCCTTTCGCATAGAATAACTGTTTCTAGTAATCGACAGGCCCCGTTAGCCAAACACTCTGGTCCTGCGCTGTGTGTCATTAGGTCTTGTTGCAGCACCACGCAAATTTGCCCTTTACTTTTGCAAAACATATGACCCAACGATTCATTTCATCGTGACTCATACGTATGGCCCACCTGCACGTAGAATCTCGCATCAAACTGGACCAGATTTCGGACTTAACTGCACACCTCCGGCACTTCACTCTTTTTCGAAGCACTACCGGTGCCTTTTAATGCCCGTAAACTTTAATTTAGTACTCCTACATTACTTTAAGTAAACCATTTGAGTTGGCCGGATTTTTCGGCTATAAACTGACGCCGATGGGATGCCGATGGACAGTTTGTCTGAAGGAGTATGAGGAGAAAATAATGAAATAACAAAAAAACAAAATAAACAAGGAAAACGGGACCGCCGCTTCAGTGAACAAGTAAATAGCCGTTCACATGATATGTACATACAACATTCAGCCAATTTTCCGCTTCAAGGTAATATTCAGGAAGTCCGATTTGAAGAATTACTGGTTTCACTACTAGTTTACATGATCCCAGGAGAAATCCCCTCCTATGGGAAAAGGAGACAGCTTTCCCAGTTGGATAGCAGTCACATCACCAGCGAATGATCTAAATTGTGCAGAAACTTCCGTGACACCAGTAACCTCATTCCCATCAGTATAAACTTCGGGGCAAGTCGATCGTATGGGTAAAATGGCCACGTGGGAGTGTATTCTGTCTTTTCTCATTCTTCTCAAGGGGATCGCACTAGTGGGAAACACATGTGGCCCGATTGCTCGGCCACAAATGACTGGTTTCGCTTGTCCTCTGCCATTCGCAGAGAAAAACAACTGCCCAGGGACTGCTAGAATAAAATTTCCAACGTTATTGGTTTAAAAAAATGGCAGTGTGGTGCCAGATCGGATCCGCTGTCCCACATCTGACACTCTTCAAAAAGTGGACCATTCCTGTCGTAATTTTGCTATGGTCCCTTACTTCACCCATCAAAATAGTCACTTCTTTTGCCCACAGTAACTGCATGCCAAGTGGTCGTGCGAGTGGAACGCTGGGCATCGGTGGAAAATG